ATGGATCTTGTTCCTTAAGCTACTTTCTGTGTGTATCCTTTAATTGGTGAATTGAGACCATCTACATTAATGATTATGACCAACATGTGCTAGCTCTTCTCTGCCATGCTGTCCTCCTGCTGTTGGCCCCACACTTTTCCCCTCCATTCAATTGCCTGCCCTGTTTGGTGATCCCCCTCTGCTGCTGTTCCCAAAACTGTGGCCATCTTTATCTGTCTCTAGAATATTCTTTGGCTTGATAGTCATGAATTCCTTCAGTTGTTCTTTTTCATGGAAGTATCATGTTTCTCCATTAATTTTTAAAGATATTTTTTCAGGGTATGTCAGTGTGGTTTGGAAATTGGTTTCTTTCAGGATTTGAAACACTTCACCCCAAACTCTTCTTGACCTGATGGTTTGTGTTGAGAAATCTGCCATGATTCTGATGGGTTTTCCTTTGTAGGTGATCTGTCCCTTTTCTCTAGCAGCTTTTTATATTCTGATCTTATGTTGAATTTCTGAGATCTTGATTATTATATAATTGAGTTGTAGATTTATTTTGGTTGTGGTTAGCTGGAGTTCTAAATGCCTCACTTATCTGTATGTCAGGTTCTTTTCATTAACACTTATCTTTACATTGTTTCTCTTTTCATTTTCTTGTAGCTGCTGAATTATTAGTTCCTGATTCCTGGTTATTTTTAAGAGAGCTTATCATTTCTTTTTTTTTAACCTCAGAGTTTATTTCTGACTTGATTTCCTTTACACCTTCCTGGGGTTGTTTCTTTACTTCCATTGCTATCGTTTGAGTAATTTCAGGAGTGTAATTTTCAATTTAATCCACGTTTATGTCTCTTAAACTTGTTCTGGGTGGACTAGTATTTTGAGGATGCATTTTGTTCTTTCATTTTGGCATTTTCCTGTTTTACTTCAAATCAGTTGGATCAAATCCTATTTGTCCCTGCACTTGTGGCCCGCCCTGCAGTGGGCCTCACTGAGGTTGCTAATGCCTGTGGGTCTCTCAGCATAGCCTCCCTGTCTCCTTGGGCCTCAGAGATGGTTCCCAGGTGTAGGTGGGTCTCTGGGCACCCAATATTTATTGTTAAAGAGTAGTAATTAAAATTTATTTATATACTAAATATATATAGATTTTCTTCTAAGCAACACTATGACTTGAATGAATTCTAATCTAATTCTAACCACTCTACTGTATAAATAGTGTATACACACTATTTATACAGGCTTTTTTTTTTTTGAGCTAGTAACTTATATCAGAATTTCTCAGGAAACTCTTAGAAATTAGCTTGATCTATTCAAAATTTCTAGCTGAACATGTTAGCTGCTGGGTATAATTCCAGCATTCTGAGAGTTGTAGGCAGGAAGATCACAAGCTCAAGTCCAGGCAACATAATGTCTTAGCAGACTCTGTTTTAAAATAAAAAGGCTTGAAAATAGGATTGGAGATATACTCAGTATGAAGGACCTAGGTTCAGTACCAAGTACCCCCTGTGCAAGAGAAATTCCAAAAAAAAAAAATGTTTAAGGCACAAAATTTCTTGAATGTTAAAATCTGTTCTCTGATACATTTCATGCAGTTATACTTCTATATATTTATTTTTAGTATGGTTTCTTTTATTGCAAAAGAAAATAATCTTTAGTGATATACTGTCTGTATGTTTTACAGGGGTCTAAATAGAGTGAAAGTTCAACTGTGAGTGGTAGCTTTAATGGAGCTAAATTTTGTGTTATGTTTTAAAATGTTTAAAGACGTGCATAAAGGAAATGGTTCCTTCTCCATGATATTGTTAGTGCTGTTTCTATTATCTTATAGTCAGTGGCTTAAGGGATAAGAAAAATACATGCAAAACACAAACAGTCCATCTGTCTTGGTTTTCATTAGTGTGCCTTCAAAATGCCCAATTTTTAAAAAAGCACAGTACAAAAGTCTTTTTTTTGTCTTTTTCGTTTTTATCGGTACCAGGGATCGAACTCACTGCCTGCCTGCCTTATGCTGCTGAGCTAAATCCCCAGCCCCAAGTCTTTTGTTTTTAACTTAGTAATAGAATTGTACATTTAGACAGGAAAAAAATCACAAAGTGAATATTCAAATTTTTAAAAAAATTATTTCAATTAAAGACATATTGTCATTACTCCTCAAAATAGTACCCCCTCATTTCAAACACGTTTTCCAGCCATCTTGCCACTTTTCAAAGCAGTTCTGCCTGTCTTCTTTGCTAAGTGTCTTTTTGAGGTATGATCAAAATTAGAATGAATGCTATTATTTGTAAAGGTAGGCTCATAAAAACATTCTAGTGTATCCTCAATCACCCTGTTTATCAGATCTGGCACAGTGCAACTTCTGGCTCTTCCCTTAAGTCCAAATGACCATAAAAGTTAAACATTTTGAATTAATTCAAGATATCCAGGAAGGTATGACAGCATAGCTAGAGAGACTTAGAAAAGCAGACTTTCAGAACTGCTCTAGACAATAGCAAGAGTGAGGAGGTAACTGTGTTCTGGTTCGTGTGTGGGGGGTGTTAATAGCATTCGTCTTTTATGGTATAAAATTTTTAGAATATTGACTATTTTTGTCACACCCACATATTAATGACCCATTCAGACTATTCTAAAATTTTTCTCTTAATTAGATTTGATTAGGTTCAGTTTCGTGTAGTGTCCTTTCATTGTTGCACAATTGAAAATACCTTTTACATCATTGAAAAGAACTGATTTTTAACTAATACTGCAGGGGAAAAAAAACCAACTATCTCTTTATACAAAGGCTGTAATTTTTCTCTTTCAAAGTAAGATCTTATGAAAATGAAAATTTTATATGTAAAAGGAAGGCCTCCTTCTCTCAGGAAGGTTTTTATTTTAATGCAAGCTGTATTAGAAATGAAGAATAACTCTAATAAGAGAACGTGCATAGAGTCTAAAATATGAACTGAGCTAGTCTTTTAAGAAATTCAAATATTTTCCACTTTTCACTGTTCTGAGGATTGGACACGGGAAGAATATTTCTGGTCTGTACTTGCAGTTGGCCTTACCAGCGTTGAGCTATGTTGATCTCTTACACCTTTTTACAACAAATAATTACATTTTTTTCAGTAAATAGAAGGGAGTTTGCTAGGTTCAAAAAGAGGAGCCTGATGTACTAGTTGTCTTTCTCATCACTTCTTGTTAGTTAATGTTTACTTACTTGAATGAAGAAAGTACTGTAAACATTGTGTGAGCTGAGAAGGTGTTATAGTACTTTGGAAACACAACCCAACAAAAGTGTTTTTCCATGTCATACTCATTTCCATTTGTTTTCAGTCTGGAGCTGGAATATTAAACATTCACAACCATCTATTTCTTTGCAAATATAGTATCAGTGAGGTGACTCCCTTGTGCTACCTCTTCATCCGAGTTCCTACAGGCGTGTGTAAAGGAAACAAGAGCTACTCTTTCCTTATTTTTTTCACTTTACTTTAAAATTTTGTTATTTTGTGTATCTTTGTGCTGTCTCATTAAATGCTATAAGGAAGCAGTATAAATAAATGAGGCAAAGATTCACATTAGTTAACGTCTTTTAAAACAATGTATCCTGCCTGGGTATCACATCAGAATTACAATCATAGTATTAGTTAAAAAACTAGTAGGTGGACTTACACAATCAAGATAGTGAGCCCTTCCTTCAGGATAGCAAGGCCTAGGTTTATGTATTTTGAAAAAATTTTCCAGCCACTTCTATATATATCTTTGATTTTAAGCCACTGTGCTAAAGATATTTTCAGTTTAATATTTAAAGATAATATGTTCTGTAACTCTATGATGTATATTTTTCAGGAATAATTAGTACTAAGAGTTTTAAGTTTACTTATTTTGACATTACAAAGATTGTATTCATATGTGTATGTATGTATGCACATTTATGCACTTGATATTTAATATATAATTATGAAAATGACTCACAGAACTTAAATTTTTCTTTTGCCTAGAGCAATCCACTTATCACTGTGTAGCACAGCTTGAGTGAGAATGAACTCATCCCTACTGTGCACCATCACACTAAACTCTAGTGATGGGAATGAGTTTAATTTTGGCTGTTTTAACTGTCATTGGCAGCACAGAGTGATACTGCTTATATAGCTTGCACAAAATTTATATTTGTAGTTTAAGAATTAAATACAATTATTGAAAGAGACCAAATTCTAATGTGTGTCAAAAGCAGCTCAAGGCTGGGAAGTTTTTTTTTAAAAAAAAATTTAATTTTAAAGAGAGCAAAACCAAGCAAAACACAATAGAACAAAGCCAAACAAAACAAACCAGTGTAAGTGACACAGGGCCTCAAAACAATAGGAAATCAAAAATGGTTACCACAGTGCCTATTGTTGTCTTCCAAATAGCTGCAGATAATTTCAGACATAGTAAAAAACCAAATGAAACAGAATAGAACCAATAAAAACAAAACAATGAATGCAGTAAAGGACTTCAAAACAAGATCATAACAAATCCAAACTGGCTACCATAATATATCTTGCCATCTTCAAAACAGCTGCTCATGCCATCAAATACAACAAAGTCAAACATAACAAAACAGAACAAAGCCCAACCCAACAAAACAATGCAAATAATACAGGACTTCAAAACAAGACACCACCCTCAGGAGATCCCCTATAGATGCCACATCTGTAAGCCCAGCACTCAGGAAGATTGTTTCCAATTTGAGACCAGCCTGGGCTACAAGGTGAGCTCAAGGCCAGCCTGTGAGACCCTGTCTCAAAAAAATAAATAAAAATAATAAATAAATAAATAAATGGGAGGGAGACCTCTTTTACTATATTGTATGAATACATAAAAGGAAAGAAATGTAAAGCTTTCTAAAGATTTATATCTTTGGTGGCTTTGGAAAGAAAACTTCCCATTTGTTATATCCAATGGTATGTGCATGCCCAGATGACTTTAAAGCTAAATAAGCTATAGTCTATGTCCTAAAATTTAAATTATGCACTTTCTTTGGTGGTTGGTGGAATTGGTTTTAGGATATGACAGCACGTGATCTACTGCAGCAGAGATACACTCTTCCAAATGGAGACACTGCCTGGAGATCCTCCCCACTCGTGAATGCAGCTATGGAAGGCAAACTGGTCCTGTTGGATGGCCTTCATCGAGTCAATCCCGGCACACTTGCTGTCTTGCAAAGGTTTGTGTGTCATTCTTACACAAAATAAACCCAATGTGTATGCACATCAGCACACACACATCATTCCAATTTAAGCGGTAAACATGGAGCTTGCTAAGTGTTTTGTAAACTGGATTATACAGACCCTGAGAAATCCACAATTCTACATCCCAGTGGAATGACAGACTATTTATTATTATAAACAAATTTTAGTAAAGCTCCAAATAGTGAGGGCAAATACAAATGCTATAGCAGAATTCTCTCTGCTAAAAAGATAAAACTTTTTCAGTAGTAGCTTTGAAAGACTTTATATATGCAATTGACATATGTAACATCTCCACAGCTAAAATTTCTATGTTTAGAATCATAGCTTCATGTATATTCCTCATATTATCTACATTATTGGTTGATCTTGTTGGACTCATTTTTCCTTTTCTTTTTGTTAGGAAGAAAAAAAATAGGTAATGTTAAAATCTTAATAACATTACATTGTATAGAGACTAGAAAACCTGACTTTGTAGGTAAAAGTTAGAACTATCTATGGCCATTTTTTTTTTAAAGTTTAGCTGTGAAAAACATCCACACATTCCTAAAAAGTCCTCTACAACTTAATTTTAAAAGAAAATTCATGTGTAACTTTTTCACAGAAAATATAATTACTGATTTTTTTGTTTCATCTTAGTTTTTTACTTGTGGACATTTAATTTTAAATTCTGACCTACCAGTTAAGAGTCAGATAGATAGATTAAGCCCTGACTATTAAAGGATTTTGTCTGTGACAGACCCAGATACTGTGTATAGTTTTCAGTGTCTAAATACATTGGGTTAATTCTGATTAGACTTGAGTCCACTTAAAAATAGTATTCACAAATATATGTTTATAAATATTGGGGTTGGGGATTTAGCTCAGCGGCACAAGTGCGTGCCTGGCAAGTACTCGCACTCGGTTGTAAGTTCGATCCCCGGCACCAAAACAAAAACAATAAGTAAATAAATATTTCTTACACTTGTATTTTTCTTTCCCAAACTGACAAATGCAGACTAGAAATAAAATCTGCTCTCCTTTTGTGGGTGTCTCTTACATTTTTGATTGAGCAGAATAGTTGTAGTAGCAGCAGCTGTCATTAACTGAATACTTACTATCCTCTGCTGGGTGTTGCTCTAGACTGGTGATTCCTAAATTTTTAACCTTGGACTCACGTTTCAGGGAGGGAATTTTAAAGTATTGATTCTTACAATTCATCTCCACAAATTCTGCTGTGATTGTTTCAGCCCAAGGTTTGAACATTGGTGTTTGCAGAAAACCCTATTGTATAATCAAGATTGAGAACAAATGAATTAAGCATCTGTTTTACATTAGCAATTTAATTTTACAGTAACTCATTAGGTTGGCATTATTGCCCAAATTTCATAAAAGATAAAAGTTTAGAGAGATAAAGTAGTTCTCTCTGCCCTCAGTCATTCCGTAAGTAAGATACCAAGCTGGAGTTAAATGCAGGTCTGACTGATTCCACTGTCTGTACCCTAACCGTGGCATTGTACACTCTGCCCTCCATCAGTGCCATCAGTAGAGGCTGTGTGGGGCAGCGCCAACCGAGGTATGCAAAGACTGAGTGATTGAAACGTTTCCATCTTTGCAGCGCTCTCAAGACCGTGCCATTTGTGGTGTGAATGGTTACATTAGGTCAGCCTCAGAGTTGAATATGAATTAGCAGCGTGATTATTTTAATAATCTTCCCTCAAAGAGTTACATTAGAGGAGTATGTGTCTCCTCATCAGTAAACACTCGCAGTGACCTTGGACCACTCAGTCAGCACTTCCTTTTTGTGTTCTTGCTCCTCTTTTCCTCCTTCAACTTCTTCCTCCCTATCCACATCTAGTATTCATGCCTTTTACTTTCCAGTAAAGAAACCAACTTTTGCAGGTATCACAGTATTAGCCAACCTGAAATTCTGCAAGTTTCCTCTGGAAAAATTGTTAGACTTAACTGCGAGCAACGATAGCCATGATTAAAATGTTGACTATGCAGTTCTACCTCTAATTGCATCAGTGTTCAAGCCTGATTAATTTCCTGATGCTTTTCTTATTCCATTAGGTTAATCCATGATCGAGAGCTCAGTCTCTACGACGGCTCTAGGCTGCTAAGAGAAGACAGGTACATGAGCTTAAAGGAAGAGCTTCAGCTGTCTGATGAGCAGCTACAAGAGAGGTAATTTTGAATACACTGTTCTTATTAAGTTACTGCTAAGTTAAAAAAACGTTGTTCATTATATTTATACACTAGGGTCAAGCCTAAAGGACTTTGAACAACTTAATAATTTAGTATTCTAGGCATGATGATAGTTTGGCATGTACTAGAACTTGAGGTTGAGACCTAAGATATGTTCTGTACTCTTAGTTTTACGTTAGTGGCTGATCTTGGTTTTAAGATGTAACTCTTTTCTGTTGCCTTACCAATTTAGTTAGCCTCTTGTTTTGTATCCTCTCAGCAAAACAAAAACTGGGCTCACAGTTATCACAGTATTACCTATTATGGCTTAATTAAACCTCCTTTCAGAGATGCAATAACCAAATGCATTGGATGAGCCCTGACTGGGTCCTGGAACAGGAGACAAGATGAAAATAGCCCTGAATACAATTAGAAAGGTTTAGATATGAACTGTGAATGTACTACATGATATCAAATTAAAACTAATTTTCTTGAATATGGTAATAGAAGTAGAATATTCTCATTCTCGGAACATGCTTATTGAGATGCCCAGTGGATAAGCTAAAATAATCTACAACTCGTGTCCAAATGATCCAGGAGAAAAGAAAGTTGCATGTATGTGTGTTCAAACACACATGCAAGAGAAAATATCAAATGAGAGCAACAACACGATCATAACATTTTTGTAATTGATAAAACTTTACATGAGGAATATATGAATGCTTGTGTTACATTTTCTATGTAGTTGAAAATTGTCAAAATGAAAGGTTTAAAGGAAAATACTTTTCAGGTGCATATTATGCTTTTCCTTTGAAAAGGTTTAACAAGTATAAGTTAATTTTCATGTCTATCAATGTCTTAACACAATTAGAGATTGGTACGTTAGAGATCTATCTCTTCTTTACATAATCTGGCCATACTTAATTGAAAGTTTTTCCCTCTGCAATGGGTTTCGTACCATATTTATTACAAGACCATCCTACAAAAAGTAATACAATTTATTCACTAATGAGTTTACATTTCCAGCAAAATATTTTAAAAGAATTTTCTTCACATTTTTTCATGGGGGAGAAATGTGAGACTCCTTAATACCTCTGTATATGTTATTAATAACATCACTTGATTACATAACTGCTTATGCTTCTGTGATACTCCATCAAATTTCTCTAGCCAGAAAATGGAAAGTTTAGGAAAGTAAGTATAAAAATCTCTTTCCTTTTGTATATTTAGTTTGTAGCATTCAGCTTTTGTGCATTATTTGTATGTGAAACACATCAAAGAAGGGTTTATATTTTCGGAAAGCTGAATCAATGGAGTTGGGCAGCAGCTCCCAGAAAGTTAGCTGGCAGTTTCCTTTAGGACATCAGGAGCCCTGTACTGGTCGCCGAATATCCAGGAAAGGACAACCCTGTTCTATGAAGTGGGTCAAGTTCTCCCTTGATGGTCATGAGCAGCTTTGCAGAAACAGCATCCTTGAGCATCATATTGAGGGTTTGGGTCACGATGGATAGTTCAGTTTCCACCTTTGTCATTATCGAGTTGTGTCTCTCTCACAAATGCAAACCTGTCCTCTATTTCCAGAGGTCAAGCTGAGCAATTAGAGATCATAGTAATCCCTGCTGTTCTTCATAAACTCTTGAAAACTTTTATTTGACTCTTTACCAGTGTTATTCATGCATGAAACGTAAGCCAGATAGAGTTTTGAAAAATAGAGTTTTTCAAAGCATTTAATGAAAAATGCCAGTCCTTTGGCATGGATTCTCTGACAGTTCTTCATTTTCTACTTCTCATTACACAAAGCCTATCGCTTTCAACTCTTAGCTGTTTCCTTCAGTATTTACCTCCCTATCATTAAACAATATGCTTTCATTAATATTTCTTGATTTATGTTTCATTTTTTTTTTCTTTAATTGGTACCGGGGATTGAACTCACGACTGCCTGTTTGCAAGGCAGGCGCTTATGCCGCTGAGCTAAATCCCCAGCCCCTTCATTGGTCTTTTGATGTCCTCTATAAAAATACAAGGTTTAGTTTGTCAACCACTTCTTTTTCTTTACTCACATACTCCATTGATCCTAATGAGTTATAAATTTTGCTTTAAGCTTCATTCAATTTTTACATGATTATGACTGTGAAAGTATGGTATAGTACAGTATAACAAAGCTGAGCCATTTAGTATTGAATAATTATTTTCCTTTCATACATGCATCTTATTTACTGTATCTACATATAAAGAGAGGTATATAGATCATTCAAATGCAGTTTTACACGTTAGAGCGGAGGTCTGTATGGTAATGCTGTGTGGATCCTTAGGAGGACGTGACCCTATTTTCTATGCATGTATCACATTTTGATTTCAAACATACCCCTATTGTCAAAATCTTTCAGCACACTGAGGCATATCCAATATTTATTAACTATATTTTTTTTACCCATTTTAGCTTTTTCCCACAGTATATTCTGACAGATCCTAATTTGGACTTGATTTTTACACTTGCAGCTCTTGTGGCATCTTAGACCTTTCCTTGCTCCTAATTTCCTGGTATCCTGTAGCTTTTTTGTACCTTTCGTTGTTTGGATGTGTAGTGAACCTTCTGGGCTGCACTTCCAATTTTCATTTCCTTTTTCTCCTGTTTTTTGTCAGTTCACTGGGGGCTTCATTAATGTTTCAGAGACAAAATTTTCTAACAATGATTCTCCTATCTTCTCTAAATTATTTATACCATCCAGAAGTCTAATTCTTTTCATTATGCCTCCTTTGTTGTCAAGAAATAGTAGTTTCTTATGATTATAGACAATTTTTATTTGGTTAAGTGTAATCATGCTATAGAATATTCTTCTATCTGATGGTGTGAGATGCTGGTAAATTTCTCTACCATTTCCTAGTCAACCTTGATTTAATTGTATAACCCATTTTTGTCTTTTATCATTATAGTAGGTTAGATTCTTTTAAATCAGTTGGCTGTATTTCTTTCAGAGTTCTATTTATTGGGTAATAACTTGATATTGTGTTTTTTGCCTAAAAAACTTGAGTGAGAGGACATAGTACAGTGTAAAAAGCAAGAAATTTATACTCATCAAAGAAAAGTTCATGAGTTTTTCTTATGAGTACTATGACCAACTATCTATCATAAGTTGATCCTACATCCCTATATATCATTCTTGGTATTAGCATTTGAGACATAAATCAGAAGCTCATGACTCAAATTGTCTATCATTTCACAGAACTGAAGTTCAGCAAGTTATACTTTTTTATAGTATTTAAACATGCTTAGATTTTATTTAATTTTTTATTGCCACTGTGTTTCCTTGTGGGAGATTTTAAGATAGAGAAAAAGATCAAAGGTAGAATTACAAGGAAGGTTTTTGTTCTGTTTTCTAAGAGGGGTGTTGTTCTGTAAAGTTGAGGAAGGTGGTCAGAAGTAGTATGTCATTTGCAACTTCTTGACAGGAATAACATCTGTAATAGTGTTGCACAAGTAAATAAATATTCTGGCAGATCAGGATTCCAAGAACAACTTCCAATGTGTGGACTAGTAATTAATAATCCTGAGAATTATTTTAGAGCTCTTTCTGGATATAGTGTTGGAGTGATTTGGTTAAACTTTAATGTCATACTGGTAATCTGTAGAGTCAGTCACTCGCTGGGTGCAGGTGACTCATCTGTGGACTGATGATTGAATAGAAATGATTTGGAGAGTACAAGTCTGTTACTGATAGCATTACTTTGTTTTTTCCTTCAGGTTATTTGTTGAGTGCCAGCTCTAAAATGACATAGTCACTTACCTCTGTGATGTACCACATACAAAGACAGATAGACACGCAAACCTAGTTTTTCAACGTCAGAGTAGAAGTCTGTACAAAATGCTGTGGGAACACAGACAAGGAAGTGACTAGTAACTCCTTGAAAGGTTAGGAAAGGATCAGACAGACTACTGTTTCAGTTGGCATTTCCTGCAATTTGCTTCTTAACCTTTTCCTTTCCTTGAGTAATCTCCTCCACTTTCATGTGCTTACCTATCATGGATACACTGAGTAGTCTTCAAAAGCTTTTTACAATTTATTTTTACCCTAAGTGCTATGTGACTATTCTATGTCTTCCCTTACATGTCCTGGAAAATTCTAAGCTCATTCCTCCAAACCTACTATTGTTCTTGAACTCTTTAATTTATTAAATGAGAAAAATTGCTGTGCATACATCTAACCAGGATGTTTAGTGTCTGATCCATAATTGTAATCATGTCACTGTTTAAATCCTTGAGTAATTTCCATCACCTGCAGTGCCCAGGCCAACAGCTATACAGCCTCATCTTTTGCTTTTCAGAACTTGTGCTATTTCTCCAGTAGTCCCTTGTCTGGGAAGCCTTCTCTGAGTTTCCTTAAGCTCTTTTCAAGGCCAAGGCAGATTTAACAGTATCTTTGGCTCTGGACTCATTTTGGCAACCTGGCTCTTCTCCAGATTGGAGCAGTTTTCATAATTGTATATTTCAAGGCTTCTTTGGTTATAAGTAACAAAAATTCAAATTGCTACAAAATGAATTTATTAGTTCCTCACATAATGAAATGAAGGGAGAGGATACAGCTGAACCACAGGAAATAAGTAGACTTTACTGCTGTCAGGTCTTTGTCACGCTTCTGTACTTCATTTCTTTGTTTCTAATGTCACAATGTGTAACACATCGTGGAGTTGTTTGTGTTTTTGAATAAGTGAAAAAGTCAACCTGGGATACAGTTTTGAAAATCCTCTTTATACCATTTTAGGTGGCTTTCTAGGATAGCAATGTTTTCTTAAATAAATATACTAATTTGGAATATTTTGATTTCCTTTAATGACAGGTCTGAAAACATAGGTCCTATAATTAATAGCTACTGGGCAACTCTTTCAACCAGGTGGCGTGAAACCCAGTTTGCTAATATTTTAATTGCATCTGATTCATTGTTTACTAATTTTTACACAAAATTGTATAATAATTTCCAGAATGCTCTTCAGGCTTTTGCAGGTAATCATATGCCTAACATTTCCTGGTAAATGTTAGAAACTTCCCTTGGTATAAGATGCCAACAATGGTGGTTAGAAATAGTGTGATGGTCACACACATCAGAGATTTACAATGCCTGCATTTCATGCAGGAAATATGGACCAAAATAGAACGGCTTCCTTTAATGAGAAAAACTTATTTTGGGGAAAGAGGGAGTACAAACACTACTAGCTGCTAAATGTGTCCCTTCCTGTTGATGTAAAAAACAGGTAAGATGAGTGACAATTTCTCTGTTGCTGTGGTTCATTTCACCGAGAAGGCCCCTGCTATCTCAGGGAAGGATCAGTGGGCCAGTCTAGATATGCTCTAATATTTTTGTACTTTTATTGAATGTTACATTGGTTGTTACACAACACTGAAAACAGTTTATAATCTTTATTGATTAGTAATAAATCATCATTGGATATCTGAGGACAATCTTTGATACATTAGATTCTCTGGACCCTTTTGCTTTTATTTTTCTTATGTTTGAAGATGATTAGGATCTGAGCATTCTCTCCTGCCTTCTCAAAAGTGTTAGCATCTCTTTCCCTACAAATTAGGTCATGCAAATTTATAACAAAATTTAAGATAGATCCAAGATTTTATGCCTCAAAATAAAAGGCTTAAGGAGATTTTGAATTTAAAAATAACCCTGAACATTTTTATGGTCAAGGAATATTTCATGCCTCTGAAGGGTGCAGTTACTTATTACTGTATGTTTTGAGGTTTTCTTTTTAATACAGAAACTGCATCTCCTCTCACAAATTCATTCCAGAACAGATTTAGACTAGCTTTTGGCTGGGAAAACATTATTTCAGTTTTTATCACTTACTCTGGTTTGTCATTTACATGAAAGATATTCAAAAATTTTATACAGTAATGGTTATTAAAAACAGCAATATATATGTATTAATTATCTGCTTTCTTCCAAGTGGTACATTAGACCTCATGTTATATAACAATACATTAGGAATGTGTCCATGCAGTTTGCTTAATTGCAAAGAAAAAGAAAATCTGGGCTGTGTACATAACTATATGATCTCTAGGTTTTGAATTAGAATATTTGTATTATAGTATGGAAGACTAATTTCAAAGTAAAGTCTTATTCCAGCCTATGATTGATATCATTATAGAAATCTTCTGTATTAGTCTTTCAAGTTTCTTACTACACAAATTCAACGAAAATGGAGTTTGCTGATGTATTTTTTAAATTAAAAGCTTTGTTGAAATATAACTGATATATAGTAACCTGAATATTTAAAGAATACAATTGAATAATTTTTGGCATGTACAGAACTCTGTAATCCCTAGGTTTTGAATTGGAACATTAGTACCCTAGTATAAAAAGCTGATTTTAGGGGCTGGGGATTTAGCTCAGCGGCATAAGCACCTGCCTTGCAAGCAGGCGGTTGTGAGTTCGATCCCCGGTACTGATAAAAATGAAAAAGACACAAAAAAAAAAAAGCTGATTTCAATCCTGTTCTAGCCCATAATTGATGTCATTATAGAAACTTTCTATAGTATTCTTTCAACTTTCTTACTACACACATTCAACAAAAATCAGCCTCTAGAGTTTACTGAAGTCCTTTTAATTAAAAGATTTGTTGAGATATAATTGACATGTGGTAACTTGATTATTTAAAGTATATGGTTGAATAATTTTTGCATGTGTAGAACTCTGCAATCGTTAGATTTTGAACTGGAACATTAATATCATAGTATGGAAAGTTAATTTCAAAAAGTCTTCTATATCATTATTTCAAGTTTCTTAGTATACAAATTCAACAAAAATGAACTGGTGGAGTTTATTGAAGTCTTTTTAGTCAAAAACTTTGTTGAGATACAGTTGGTATGTGGTACATTAAATAGGACATATTTTCTAATATTCATGTATCATTTATTTGGCTTTGATATTTATTACACACTGGTTTGTCAGATCACCCTAAAATATATAGCAGATCTTTTGCCCTCTAAGTTTCAGACTTGAGGAACCTTGAATCAGGAAATGACTTTCCCTGTGACCTATTTGTTAGCAAGGAAATCTTTGGGAAGAACCTAGAAAACAAAAAGGTCCTTCTCATCCTGTTATTCATTAGTTTGGTGGCTGTTTTTATCTTCAGTGTATACTTCTGTGCTTGGCACATCAGCTTCTCAGAAACTGTTCCCTTTAATTTTGGCCCACTTACTCAAGTGCCTTGTGAAAGCCAACACTAAAAAGCAAGCTATAGACAATGTATGCCCCCGCCGTGAGCATCACCTTATTTAAAGTCCAGCCACCAGCCTGCTCTTATTTCAGTTGCTTTTCCCCTCTTAACATTACAGCTGAACTGTCATGCCTACTTCCTGATCTTTAATGATACAAAGTGGACTTCCCATTTTGGCTTCTTTTGAGAGTTTGATTTTGTTCATTCCTTAATTTGCTATTCCTTACTTCCTTAAGGAGAATCTACATCTGCTCCTTTAATTTTGCACAGCCAGACTAGGCTGTATCTCTCCTCTTTTTGTCCTAATTAGGACTCAGAAAGATCAACGATGAATGAAACATCTGTTGCTAGGCTTTTGGGCACAGTTGCTTGTAGTACAGCAAAGCACTTAGTCAAAGTAGAAAACAGACTAACCTACTTCTTTAGCTTTCCAGGCCTAGGATTTCTCATCTCCCATATCCGTTACCTGACTAATTACTAGCAGTCTGTGTGACCCTTCCATCCTCAGGACTTTCAGGCACTGTCTGTTTTGTTGTCCTTCCCTGTTTTCCCAAAACAACTTTTTAGGACAGATCATTCCCCCAAGCCCTGGTAGAATACCTAAAAATAACGTTTTTTTTTAAATCTAAAAAAATAAAATAATAAATAAAATAATATAGTTTTCATCAACTCATCCAACTCTTTCATATGACCATTAATAAAATCGTTTTTCCCTCCCGTACACATTCTGATGTGCTCTCTAAAATTACAGGTCACGAGTTTGGGAATGCAAGTCAGCCTGCTCACTTCTGATACACCTTTCTCTTGTCTGAACTCTTGAAAGTACCCATCGGATTCTTTCTACAAATGTTGTACCTTTTGGTATTTTAGCTACCCAGTCTCTTAGCTGTTGGATTCTACTGTAATAGTTCATAATGTCAGTTGTATTTTTATTTTTCTGAAAATTATGGCAAACACTTGAGTCATCTCTCATTTCTCTGAAAGAACTATATTTTTAGGGCTGGGGGTTTAGCTCAGTGGCATAAGCACTTGCCTGGCAAGTGTGAGGTTGTGAGTTTGATCTCTGGTGCCAAAAAACAAAACAAAACAAAACCCCAAAAAACTGTATTGTCCGCTAAAAGCACATTTCTATTGGGCTTTTTTTTTTTTTTTGAGTAACCATAGCATTGATGAAGAAAATGACAATATTACTTGCCTGATTAGATCAGAATAAGGGATGTCTAATTCCTGTCCAAAAGCAACTCAAGTTATTTCACTAATTATGGGAGGTCCTTACCTTTTTCTTCTGTGTGTGCTAGAGTATTTACATGCTTTCTCCAATTCCCTAGCAGAGATCTGCTAAAAAAAAAAGATCATTTTAAAAATCACAACATTTGAATAGCAATGACAAGAGTAAATTATGAAAAAGTTTGATTGTCTTTACGTTTTTAAGACCTAAGGTTTTTTTTTTTTTTAATGGTCTGAAGTTTAAATTGAACCTAAAATCTTCATATTTTAAAAACTTTTCCCACAGGACTGAATCACAGTCCTTTGTGTTTCAGTGACTGGTACAGAGTAAGCTCTATGGAAGACAGGAGATTTTGAGGGGATTTTCAGTACGTAAGAGAAGACCTACGTAATGAGTCTGAACTGGGGAGGATTTTACTTCAAGGAACTGCGGAGAAAATTTGCTGCTAGCGTAGCCACATGTCAAAAGCAGTGGTTTGTGTGAAGGCTAGAGTTTCATAAGTAGTTATTGCACAACATTTATTACTGTTCATTATTTTCACTTCTGTTACTGTTAGGTCCTTGGGTGTCCTGACTTTTTTTTCCTCCAAGGCATTCTTTGGATGATAACTTTGACATTATTAATAGAATGATAAGTTTATCGGCGCCTGGGCATCAGCTACCAGACTTACTTTCTAATGTGCAAGGTTATATGTCCTTATTTTTCTTCTCTTTCAGGTCTATTTTTCCAATTCACCCCTCCTTTAGAATCATTGCTTTGGCAGAACCCCCTGTTGTTGGAAGCACAGCACAGCAGTGGCTGGGACCGGAATTCTTAACCATGTTCTTTTTCCATTATATGAAACCACTTGTGAAATGTGAAGAAATCCAAGTGATTAAGGAAATGGTAAGAAAGACCAGCTCTAACCTAGTGTGTCTACAGTGATTCCCTTTTTAAGGTATACTGATACATGCTGGAGCACAGTTGGACCCTTTTGACTCTTCCTCTCATTTAGTCCCCAAATTTTTCATATAATATTATATTTCAAAGGTTTTCAAATTTTAATATTTTCAGGATCATTTGGAGGGCTTGGTAAAACAGATATCTGAGCTCCATTCATTATGAGCCAGCAGATTTGAACTGTACACAACAGTTCCCATTTCTGACAGGTTCTTAATGGTGTGGATGCACTTGTTTAGTGACCACACTTGGAGAGCCACACATGCAGGCTACTTCTCCCCTACCTTCATGTAGAGAAATTTTTACAATTTCTTGTCCTTTTGTGTTCAGTCATTATTTAAAGTTCCTACTGTAAAGATAGACCAGATATGTTTTCATTCTCCAAGTTTACAGAAAACAGTAAATAGTCCAAGTCCCCTCCGCACTGTAAGAATTATTTGGTAATCTGCTAATTTGCTGCTACTGTGTGTGTGACCCACATTTCAGCATCAGCATCAAATATTGTGTTTTGCACTTTTGGAGATCCAGCACTACACAATTCAGTATAATATCACCAACCATGTTAAATGAAAACTTTTGGAAACTCAGTTTTTAAGTCACATTTTAGGTGTTCCATGGCCATGTCAGGGACTTTTGACTATTGTATTAGCACAGATAAAGCAAATTTCTATCATTATGGTATAAGTTTATATTATTGGTAATTAATTTTTTATATAAATGCAGCGATTAATTTTAAGTGTTATGAGCATGGTTGCAGATGTGGGCACATGCTTTAAATTTCAATAGCTTGATTCTAAATGTCAAATCTATTACATACTAGTTTCCAGGTCTTGAATAAATTACTCTGAATTTTAATTTATCTGCAAATGGGTTAAAGCTATTTGTTAGATCATAATGTGGACTTAAAGAGTAAGTGTATGGAATAAAATTTATATTTAAAAAATTCCAGTTACCTGAATGACCAAAGATACCCTGAGCAGTGTATTTTTAAATGATCACATTATGCCAGTCATTGTTTTGTTTTAACATCATTTTCTGATTTTTTTTTTTTTGTACCAGGGATCAAACTCATAACCTCGTACTTACCAGGCAATGCTCAAATTGCTGAGCTAAATCCCCGATCTCTTTCTGATCTTTTTAAATTAAAATTTTAAGTTTTTTATTGCTTAAGTAAAAGTTGCTTATGGTTTAATTTAATCAAATATGTAATTATATTAAGATTTATTATAACTAGCAATCAACTTGTGCTATCTTGGAAACTTCTGTTTAGAATTTATTGATAAATTGATCATTGTCTTCAAGGATGTGTCTTAAAAGTCCTTGAGAAAAGAGTACACCTTGAACATCCATTCTTTATGCAAGAGTACTTTATATCCCATAGCTGACATATATGTATGTAAGTTATTTCCTAAGAAATAAAATTTGGCTTCCTTAAGAAAATGCCCTAAATTAGAGCTTCAAAAAATCCCACTGAACTTAAGAAAACAAGAAATTAAAAAGGTTTTCATAAGCATATTACTGTATGCAGCCGTTTTTACTTGAGTTAGAGGCTCCTTTCACTTTTATGCTGGTGATTGAATTATATATGTACAGAAAAGTGACTTGGTTTTATTTGCCTGATTCTTCAAGAGAAAACAGAGGATTATGTGTTTCCTGAGAAGTTGAAAGGAAATTTTATGAGTTAAATGTATAACTAGTAATCAGTATTTCATTTTCTAAAAATGTTATTCTAATATTATTTTCTAAGTAATCATTTCTGATTGATTGATAAGAAATCTCAAATTTATTTTTTTTCTATTTTTTCACAATTCTCTCATAAAATAGGTTCCAAATATACCTCAGGAAGCTTTGCACAAATTGTTATCATTTACACACAAACTCAGAGAAACCCAGGATCCAACGGTAAGCCTGGACTTTTCCCTAGGGTTTTTCGGTGCTGACATATTACTGCTTTTTAAAATCTGTATTTTTTAAGCTAGGCTCTTTATCCTTTTTGGCTGTATTTTGTCCTATGTAGATTTAATTTTGGTTTCAGTGGTTTTAACATATCTTCCAGGTCCTTGTGGCTAATAGCATAGAAAATAACTTTTCACTTAGGGGAATTCTCCCAGCTCCTGGGGGTCCTGCTCCACACCCTCATCCCCTTTACTGAGCCCTGTCATCTGTCTTCATGGTTTAATGTCCCATCTGTGAGTTAATGCTATAATACTTGTGACTTAATCTTCTGCTTTTGCTTTCTCTTTTCTGACTGATTCTTTGTATTTTCATCCCACAGTGGCGTGTTGCAAAGTTAAATGACTGACTATAGGGCTGGGGATTTAGCTCAGTGGCACAAGCGCATGCTTTGCAAGTGCACAGTCCTGAGTTTGATCCCCGATACCCCAAAAAAAAAAAAAGACTGACTATTTAATTCTCTGAGTTGTTGTTTTACTTAATAAATGTCAGTTTCCCTTTTCAACTGGATACTTTAAATTTGGCACACCTATAAACTGCTTTCCCCTTTACCTCTCCTGTTTGTGTTTCTGATTTAATTTCCTGACTCTGTGAATTATCTATTAAGTTATCTGAATTAGAAACCTTGCCCTCATTGTTGATTCCTTGATTATCTATTGTCTTCTCTTAATCTGAAAGGGAATCTCATCAATTTAACATATTGATGTGGCATCTATTCTCTTACCTATTGTCTATAATTATCTTACTATCGGATTTCATGGTCTTCTTCTGGGATATTGTTATTTCATCTTCGTCACTGATAATTCATTCGTCATCGCATGGCCTTTTGTTAGTTTCCTGTGGCAGTAGTAACATTATCATAGATTGGTGACTTAAGAAAACAGCATTTCTATTTACACAAAAATGCTTAAAATTAGTCTTAATGTGAGAAAAACAAAATAGCAGCAGAGCTGCACTTCCTGGGAGGCTCCAGGGTGTCACCACCGCCCCCATCTTTCCGTCACCTTCTCTGTGTGTCTCTGTCAAATCCCAGTCTGTGTCCCTCTTGCTGTGATACATAGTACTCACCCAAGTAATCCAGGACAATATTCTTACTTTAAAATCCTTTACTTATTCTCATTTGTAAAGATAACTTTGCTGCAGAAAGTAACATTCACAGATTCTAGAAATTATGATGTGGATGTCTTTGAGGCACAGAGGGACATTGGGGGGCCTTGAGACTACTTTTCGCCTTGGGGGGCCTTGAGACCACTTTTCGCCTGTTACAGGTCTCCTGTAACTCTGAGACCTTATCTCCAATTTCTTTCCCCTCTTGTTCTTTTCGGTTCCTTTTGTCTTTGCTGAACATACTAGGGAGTGCCTCCCTCAGAGCCATGGCCACCTGGGGGTGACTTCATAGATCACATTCCCTAGATAATTGCATGTTTCTTCCCCTGTGCTTTCAGGTTTGCTCAAGTGTGACATTTTTGGCAGGGCTTTCCCAAGTATTCCATTGATAGTCAGATTTCCTCCTGATTTCATTCCTGTCTTTCTGACAGCCTTAAAGTTCTTCGTAGGGCTTCTGGGCTGTAGACATACTGGTCATATTTCATTCTTTTTTTATTATCTACTTTGCCGGCACATGAGTTTTAGTTCCATGGTGGCAGGAGTTTTGTTGTTTAAGGGTTCTCAGAATCTGGAACTTGACAGGAAACACAGTAAGCTATTCAACAGACCTCTGTTAAATAAATGAATGAATGAGTGTTCCGGATTGTCCTTGCAGTGATCTTTCTATCCTTATCCTGGCTTCCTCCCCTTCTGTAAAACCCTTGCGGGCGTTCTCTCTTGGTCTGGAGACTTGTCAGCCCGCTACATGTACCTGCCAAACTCCTCCTGTCGCTAAACTGCCTTTCCAGCCTTGTTTCCTGCAGCCTCTCTTAACACATACCCTGAGCTCTACCTGCACTTGGCTTTCTTCTGTTTATTAACTACCCAAATGTTTCTGCTTCGGGTAATACCTGACGTGTGCTTTGCCCCCATCCGCGTGTCCCTCAGAGTCCCTGTTCTGTCAGGAACCTCTCAACTTCCTGAGGCAGAAGTAATCCTCATCCCTGATTGCTTTCATGGTACTTCTCCTACTCACCTATTGAAGTTGTGTTAGTTCATTTTTGCATTACAAATTAGTGACTATTATGAGTCTGGGTCTTAATCATTCTTTTATCCTTGTTTCTCTGGCACATGGTAGACACATCTTTGCTGAATGAATGGATTAATTACTGATTTAGTATCAGCTCAATCCTAGAGTTTTCTCTCCTGAGAAAATTACATTTTTATAAAGAAATAGTTCTTTAAGAGGAGAAAAAAACCTTTTTATAATTTCTGATGAGCTCTTTTATATTTTTAAGCTGAAGTTCTAAAAGTCATGGTAATATGAAAAAAATCTTTGAGGTATGCTTTAAAATTATATAACCACAGTAACTAAGGCAATGAGTTTCATATTACCACCTTCTGCTCTGCAAGATACAACTCTAGTTAGAAACCTGATACTATAAATGTTAAATACATTAGAAATTTTGAAATTAAAGAAAACTCAATTTTTAATTGATGATATGAAAGAAGAAATTACCAAACCCCTTATTCATTGTATAACTGGCTGTACATAAAACTTAGTTTCTTAGGGGCTGGGGGTTTAGCTCAGCGGCATAAGCACCTGCCTGGCAAGCAGGTGGTCGTGAGTTCGATCCCTGGTACCGATAAAAATGAAAAAGACAAACAAAACAAAACAAAACAAAACAAAAAACTTAGTTTCTTTATTTCTTAAAATTGCATATTATTATTATTATTCTTTTTTTTACTGGTACCAGGGATCAAACTTACATCCATGCGCTTGCAAGGCAGGCGCTTATGCCGCTAAGCTAAATCCCCAACCCATATTGCATATTATTGCAAAACATTGTGACGTTAACAGTGAAAAGAGCTGCTATTCTTCAAATCATCAGAAATCTTCACCGATCACTGGCATGAATTTGGAGCCTGAATTGAGTGTCATGCTCAGGATGAGATTACAGTGTTGTGCTTTGGAAAGTTACCTTGGGGTTTAATTGCATTCTTGTCATGAGACTACTCTACTTGGAGTCATTTGTCAAGTATTTTTCATCCTTAAAATAAGAATTGTTCAAGGTGCTAGGTGTTAGGAATGAGAATTTTTGAGTCATGTCTTCCTTCTGACACATTGAGTCGTACTAGCCTGACTTTCTCCTCGGCTCCTCCTCTTAGACAGTTGGCTAGCAAATCCTTTGAGACATTTGTTGCATTGTTTCTTTCTCTTGCACTCTTGTTACTATAATCATATTGTGGAACTTTACCTTTTTATAGGCAGATGAATGAAGTAGCCTCTGTTTACTGTCTCAATCTGCTGTGTGTTTCAACTGCTTTATCTTTTTTTTTTTTTTTTTTTTTTTTTCATCTTTTTGGGAAAAGGTTTTGCTATGCAGTTCAGGCTGGCCTCAAATTGCAGCGACCTTCCTGCCTCCTCCCCTAACCGCTGGAATTACGGGCATCACCACCACTCTTGGCTCACTACTTCAAATACTGCTGCTGATTTGAGTTTGGAATTAGGGCAGTAATAATCTAATTCTAAAATCATGTGGCTACTTTGCACATAGCAGTTTTCTTGCCTTAGGGAGCAAAGTCGGACTCCTTGTGTCATGTGCAGGTCTTTGTTGTTTCAGAACGAACCTTCAGTCAGGGCCCACTAGTAAAGTTGGGCTGATAGACTCACATTCTACATCTGTCTATGTTCTCTTTACTTCATGCCTTTGCTCATAGCATCTCTCCTGCTTACTCGAGCATTTTAAGCCAGTATATTGGTTGTCAACTGTTCCACTTATTTTAACATTAAATTATATGCTATTTTAAATTGTAATTTGTGGTTTCTTATATTTATATAGTATCTCTATGTCTAGAATACTGCACTATTGAAAACAGCATGAACCAAATACTTGCTTATTAAAGATTTCTCTGACACTGAAAATATTTTAATAGAAAAGAAGAATGTGCCGTAGATCGCAGTCATGTTCCCCACCAATTCCTCAAAGGACTGTTTCACCCATGATGAAGCTGAAGTTTAATAATACTGACAGCAGACCAATATCTCATGGAGCTGATCAATACTGTATATGAGAAAGGAGAAAAAAATTCATTGTACTTCTTTGGAATGTACAGAGATGACCTTAGATGAAACTTGGAAATAAGCAAATGTGCAGTGTAACCTTGGGCGACTCACCTCATCCACTGCGCACCCTTTGTTAATGTCACAGAGTTTCCTTTGCAGCCCCACAGGTGCTCAGGGTCTCTTTGCTTCCTTAATTACCCTCTAGTTTTACTCTGGCCAGCCCTGAAGTATCCCCTAAAGTTCTGGGGTTTCCACTGCTTTTTAGTGAAAGCTACTGTTTCCTAATGCTGTTGATTTGAATTTTGAAGTAGAACAAGGAGTAATTTGATTCATTAGAATTATGTTAATGTCTCATCACTTTTCCCTGGGTCTGAATTTTCTTGTGAAGTAATTATCTTAATAATCTCTACCATGTGTTAAGCCACCTATATTTTTCTTACTTGTCTTAACTAGTTAAGAATCATTTTCTTATTTAATCCTCATTAATAACTTTAAAGATGAGGGCTTTCTTATTGCCATTTTAAAGATGAGGAAAATGAGGTTTGGAGAGGTTAAGACATTTCTCAAGACCACACAGTTACCAAGTAAGAATCTGACGTGTCCAGCTTCAAACCCTGTAAACGTCACCATTATCTTATACTGTCTGCCATTTCAAGTCAGCAAGTATTTATGAAGTACTTACCATTTGATGGGTTCTATATGGGCATGTTTTTGGGTGGAATTTGGGTCAGTATAAGAAGGCAAAATGAAATTATTCCGGCAGTACAGGAGAAGGATTCCAAACAACAAGCTGCCACTCAAGTGACAAACTGATTGATACTCTTGATTAACAGTTTACACTGACCACAACTCCTTTATTTCAGAAACCACAGATTTGCCTAAGATTTGTTAAAAGTGTCTCAACAAATTGGCTTTGTGGAAGTGGGGGGCCGGGGAGGGGAAAGAACAGTCAATTGTGTATCAGAGCTCTTGGTTAACACAGATGAGACCCATGTTATGTAATATCCTCCCCATCCAACCTCCCGTGCCCCAGCGTGTATATAACACGTAGTGCAATTAAAATACTTTAGTTGAACGTAATTGGTAAATGCTTTTGATAAATGGTTTAAAATTATCTTCAAAGATACTGTAACTATAAATTGATTTATTTTTTATTTGTACTTCATTAACGGCACAGGTTTAAGTTTGGCCTTGTCCTTCAGGAATAATGAATTCTGCTGTGGTGTCCATAAGGGCTATAAAGAGTTGAAGTGTGACTCTTAACCGGCTGCCTTTGTCTTCTGATAGGCACAGTCCTTGGCAGCGTCGCTTTCCACCCGGCAACTGTTACGGATTTCCCGGCGGCTGTCGCAGTACCCTGCTGAAAATCTGCACAGTGCTGTTACTAAAGCGTGCCTTTCCAGGTGAACGCATTCTCCTTTTTACTCAGTTCAACTTTCTGGGTCTTCGATAAAACAGTAACATAAATTTAACTGGTTATTCACAGGTCTTTAAAAATTTGTTCTGAATATACAGCTATTTCAGCCTTGCTCTCAGTTACTAGAACTTACCTAGCATAGTGCATTACCTTCTTTAGGTGAGAAAATAATTTTAAGGCTGGAGGTGTATCTCAGTGGTAGAGTGCAGGCTAGGCATGTGGGAGGCCCTGCGTTCAGTCGTCAGAGCTAAAAAGTAAAATAAAATGAAGTGATAATAATAAAAACCTAAAAAGTACTTTATAGATTAAAAAACCTTTTTTAGTAATTTGCTCATGCTACACAGTAGGATTTGGAACTGGAATTTATGTGTCTTCTCAGCTAGGATGCATAAGTATAATATTTAACACCTCTCAAATGTGTGTTGGGAGTTTCCGTGTTTGATGGTACTGCCCACTTGTCTAAATTTAGCACAACATCTTTTCATTGTATGCTAATAATTTTACTGTCAATTGGAAAGTGACTATAAAACATTACAGAATTTTCTTACAGAATTACATTTTCATGAAGCCGTTTTAAAGAATAACCAATGAGTCCAGAATTTTCTTTTAGACACTTTTCATATAATCTAATATTTCCATATTTTAAATTCTTTGCTTGGGATCCCTTTTTATGATGTTAACTATTGTTCATTTATTCCTTGTTAAGATAAAATAAAAGACTATTTTTTTTTGTCTTTTTCGTTTTTTTATCGGTACTGGGGATCAAAGTCACGACCGCCTGCTTGCAAGGCAGGCGCTTATGCCTCTGAGCTAAATCCCCAGCCCCAAAGACTATATTTTTGTTTTTGTACAATCTGTAATTGAGCTCTTCAGGGTAGTAGACAATTTTTCAGGTAGTTAAACTTGTGCTGTGACTTGATTTTGTTCTACATGTGGCAGATTCTGCTGACCTAAGAATCTTCTCCAATATCTTTAGAATAATTCTTTGAATAACTAATAGTTACAAGAAATAAGAAAATTGATCCCCTGATTCTTTAAGTAGAAAAATATTAGACTTACAAATGAAAATTTGAAAAGGAAAAGGTTTAAATTGTTTATTTTTCAGGTATAAATGGAAGGAATTACAGAGAGAGAGCTTTATTACCTACGCAATGTTTTGTTTTGGGAAGGCTTTGGTTATACATATGAGGCCCTAAGTAAATTGATGGTATTGAGTGATAGAAACAGTGCGGACATTTAGGAAAAAATAATTCTTTGGATATATTAGAGTGAAATTATCTACACAAATTATTCTATAGCCAATAAAATATATGCTCACAAATCAATAAAATTTCAATTTCCTTTGTTTAAAAACAAATAACTATAAATCAAGAAATGAAAATTGATCTAAGAAGTAAACAAGAGTAATCAAAATTTGGAGAACAGTTGTAAAGAAACCCAAACTGTCTGAGAATGTTTAAAGATGTCTCTAGTCCAGTTACACAAGTTTGCACAGAAGAAGTGAGAAAAGCTTCAACAAAGATCAGAAAAAAGCAGAGAATATCTTTTTGTCAGATGTTTTCTTATGTTTTTGGACGGATATCCAAGATACTGTTGAAAAGAAGTAATTTCAAGTGACTCCATTTTTACTTCTTTTTTCTTCAATCATATTTTATTGGTACATTGTGCATATACATAATGGCCACATTCATCATAGAAAATTGGTACATGATGTAATTTGATTCACTTTTTCCCATTTCCCTACACACCCTTCACCCCTCCTCCCCTCTCCATTCACAGAAGCTTTGTTTCCATTTTTCTCCTTTATTTCTCAATTTTTTTTCACTTTTCCCTTCTGGCCTTTTTACCACCATTCTATTTCCCCTTCCTCATTTAAACATTTTCTTCCTGTTTCGCAGTACCTAATATACTTTTTGATCCTTATTTACACTTTCAGTTTCTCATATGAGAAAAGCAATGCAGTATTTACACATGCTCGTCCTATTTACTTCTCTTAATAACATACTTTCAAGGTACAGCCATTTTCCTAGGAATTCCTCAGCTTGTTCTTCTGTATGACAGAGTAGTGCTCCATTGCATAAACAAACCACATCTTCTTTATCTCTTCCTTGATTGACGGGTGTTTTGGCTGTTTCCAAGATTTGTCTGTTACAAACTGTGCTTCTATAAACGTAGGTGTGCATATATCACCGTGGTAAGATGGTTTTAATTCTTTGGGAAGATGCTCAAAAGAGGAATAGCTTGGTCAAAATGGGATCTCTAGCCTAGTTTTTCGAGAAATCTCCACACTGACTTCAACTGTGGTTGCACCAGTCTGTACCCCCCACACTGAAAAAGGGTTCATTTTTCACTACAGTCCTCCCTGCTAGCATTTATTACTGGTTGATTTCTTGATAGCCAGTCTTTCTGGAATGAACTGAAGTCTCAGCGTTGTTTTAATTTGCATCTCTCAAATGATGAGTGATGTCATTTTTTCATGTATTTATTTGCTGTTTGTTCTTCATCTGAAAAGTGATGATACCCATTTTTGGATTGGATATTTAAATTTGGAGGATTTGACTTTTTTTTAGTTCTTTATATGTTCTTAATAGCGATACTTTGTCTGAAGAACAGCTGGCTAACATTTTTTCCCATACTGTGGGTTTTCTCTCCACTCTGTTGGTGGTTTCTCTTGCTGTGTGAAAGCTTTTTAGTAAGATGAGATCCCAGTTATTGATTCTTTGTGATAGTTCCTGTGTGGTCAAAAGTTTTGTTCATAAAGTCTTGGCCTACAACAATGTCTTCAAGATATCCTGTTCTGTCTTCTGTAGATCTAATGTTTCTGTTTAATATTTATATTTTTGATCCATTTCAGTTTTAGTTAAATATAGTTTGAAAGATGTGCGTCTGTTTTTGATCTTAAGCATGTGGAGGGCCAGTTTTTTTTTTTTTTAGCACCATTTATTAAGAGGCTATCTTTTTTTTCCAACAAACATTTTTGATACCATTGTCGAAGATAAAGTGGCTAAGTGTATCTGAAGTTGTTTCTGCATCTTTTAATCTGTTCCATTGATTTTCAGATCTGTTTTTTTTGTTTTGTTTTGTTTTGCTTTGTTTACTACAACCATGCTGTTTTTCTTTTTTTTCTTCTTCTTCTTTTTATCGGTACCGGGGATCGAACTCACGACCGCCTGCTTGCAGGGCAGGTGCTTATGCCGCTGAGCTAAATCCCCAGCCCAACCATGCTGTTTTTATCACAATAACTTTATAGTATAATTTCAAGTCTGAGATTGTGATGCCCCCCCACTTTGCCTTTGTTGCCCAGAATTGCCTTTGCTATTCTAGGTCTTTGCTAGGTTCCAAATGAATTTTTAGATTTGTTTTCTTCTATTCTGTGAGGTATGCTGTAGGAATTTTGCTTGAAATTGCATTATATCTGTATAAAAATTTTGAAAGTATGACCATTTTCACTACATTGGTTCTTCCTACACAAAAACAAGGAATATCTTTCCATTTTTTGATAACCTCTTAAAGCTCCTTTTCCAGAGTACTGTAGGTTTGAATGCAGAAGTTTTTTACTTCCTTCACTACATTGATACCTAGGTATTTCATTTTTTATATGCTATTGTGAAAGGTGTTGTCATCCTAATTTCTCTCTCAGTGAGTTTATTATTTGTGTACAGGAGGTTTATTGAGTTTTGAGTGTTGAGTTTGCATCTAGCTGTCCGTGAACTTTGTTATTAAATCTAGAAGTCTTTTGATGGAGTTTTTGGAGTCTTCTGTGTAGAGTAGCATGCCACCCATCAACAATGATAACGTAACTTCTTCATTTCCTATTATTATCCTTTTATTTCTTTTTATTGTCTAATTGCTCTGGGTAGTTTCCAGAGCTATATTGAATAAGAGCGGTAACAGTAAATATCTTTGTCGTATTCCTGGTTTTAGAGTGAAAACTTTCAGTTTTTGTCCATGAGGTGTGATATGTGTGATATGGGCTGTTGGTTAGTCATCGATGGCTTTTATCAGATTGAGATAAACACCACCTATTCTAATTTTCTATTGGGTTTTTATTATGATTGGGTGCTGAGCTTTGTCAAAAGTTTTTCTGTATCTATTGAAATGATCACATTTTTTCCTTGACTCTGTTAATATGGTATATTACATTTATAGATTTGTATATGTTGAACCATCCCTGCATCCCTGGGATGAATTCTACTTGGTCATATTGTATAATCTTCTTGATGATTTGCTGCATTTTCTTTGGCAGTAACTTATTGAGGATTTTTGCATCTAATTCTGTTAAGGATATTTGTCTATAGTTCTCTTTCTTAGCTGGATTCTTCTCTGGTTTTGGTAATGCTTGCTTTCAGGAGTTAGCTTGGGAGCATTGTTTCCCTTTCAATTTCATTAAATAGTTTTAGAAGTAGTGGTGTTAGGTCTTTCCTAAATTTCTTGTAGAATTCATCAGTGAATCAAATCCATTAGGGGCTGGGCTTTTCTTTGTTGGTAGGTTTTTTAATTACATATTCAGTTTTACTGGTTGATAATAGTTTATTTAGGATTTTTATATATTCTTGATTTGGCTTTGGTAATTCATGTGTATCTATGAATCTGTCCATTTCTTCCACATGTTCCATCTTATTAGAATACAAATTGTCAAAGTAGATATAGATGATCATTTGGATTTCTGCAGTGCCCTTTGTGATTTCAGCCTTTTGACTCCTAGTTGCATGGATTTGAGTCTTTTTTTTTTTCATAACATTGCCTTTCAAAGATCCAACTCTTCGATTTATTGATTCCTCATTTTCTTAGTCTCTATTGCATTAATTTGTGCTCGAGGTTTGGATTTGGCCTACTTTTCTTTTTCTTGAAGTTTGAGGTTCAATGTTAAGTTGTTTATTTGATCTTGTCCTGCTTTCCTGATGTGGGTATTCATTGCTATAAATTTTCCTCATAAGACTTCTTTTGTTGTGTCCTTGTAAGTTCTGGTATGTTAATTTCATCTGT